GCTAGCTGCTCAGGCGACGCGGAGTGAGACGCCCACACCAACGACATTAACAGCTTATCGTTTTATTTCCGTGTTCAGGAACCCGCCGTCGCGGCACTGCCCGGAGTAGCCGCGAGGGGTTCGGGGTTCGCACAGCTGGCAGCTGCTCAGACGCTGCGAGCTTGTGGTGAGCTGCGTGGGGTGTCGTTTCAGGAATTCCGTCCCTCTTTTTCTCTTACCCTCTGGCCACTGAGGCTCTATGTTAATAGACGTTATATTAAACCCACACTCTGCATTCAGAATTAGCACGGGATTACGAGGACGGGTCCTGGCGCTCGGTGCCTAGTCCTCATCTTCTCTAAGGGAGAAGGGAGGGGGTGTGTGGGCTCTTGGGGGCCTACCGAAGATATGCTAAAATCAAAAGGGGGGTCAGTGGGTTAGGGAGGGGTGCGGGAGAAGGTCAGCGGGTTAGGGAAGGGCGGCCCCAGAGCTTTCCTCGGTTCCGGGGCGGCCAGTACTCAGCGAGCCCGCGTGCACCGGGCGGATGGCGTCTCGCAGGTTAGTGTCTGTGCAGTACGGTCTCGCGGGTTAGTGTGTCTGTGCACTGCCATCATAAGCACCCCGGGCACACTCAGCGTGACTCAGGGCCAGTGTGGCCACGAGGCTGCCCAGAGGACTCCCAGGTTCTCCAAGATGCGCAAGGCTCCCTGCTTGCTCGGCTGGGCTCTGGTGAGGGAATGAGCCAGTTTCCGAGGCCACCCAGTCACCACTGCGTGCAGGGACAGCGGCAATGGTGGCCGCACTGTCTCTCCACCACCGGTTCCAAGATCCTGTCTCCTGTCGTGCCATTGCCCAGCCCGACTGGGCCTCCTTTTCCTCCCTCTGCCACTCACAAATTCCGCTAATGGGGGTGGGGAGCAGCCTACCCAGGCGCCCCCTCTGTGCTGCCCCCCATTGGACTCAAACAGCTGCCCGGCCCGCACTTCACGTACCAAAAGCTCCCACGTGTACTAAGCCACTCCTTGACTGTCTAACCCTGTTAGGAAAAATAAAGTCGACTTTAGGAGGTGAGAGAAGGGCAGAAAAGAAAACCAAAGGAAGCTTGGATCACACAGTCCTCCACCCGCCATGTCCTCTGTCTCCACGGCAGCGCCTCAATGGCAGCGCCCAGCGGAAGTGCAAAAGCAAGTCCAAAGATGGAGGGGTGACCTCGGAGGGACGACCCCGAGGCACGGAGACCGACGTGCATCTGGGGCACGCGGCAGTGAGCGAATACTCCAAGTGAAATCTTCACACAGGAAGTGGCAGCGTAGCCGTTTTCTGTTGTCGCTGTCTCTTAATCATTGGCCAGAAATCGCCGCGGGACCCTGCACAGCCCGCGGGCTAGGGAGAGGCGTCGCTATGTCTAGGGAAGGGTGCGCGGATTAAGGCGGAAGGCGGTTATGCTGAGAAGCTGAGGGTAGGGCGCTGGGACGGCAGCGGAGGGGGCTTCAGCGCCTGGCCATGGGTGATCCCGAGCGGCTGTCCCTTCCTCCCTGAAAAGGAAGAGAGGGTCTGTGAGAGCAGCTCCCCCAGGGCCCTGTCCTCTGGCCACCTGGCCACATGCTGTCTGGGTCCCGTGATTGCAGAAATGCCACACAGTTGGTCCTTTCTGTCACTGCTCCCACCTGAGTCCTCCAGTGCTCATGGCATGGCACTTCCGGGACCCTAAGGTGGCTAAGATGGATTCCCCCCAGTTGGACACCCGCACACAGACGCTGCCTTGGACTCCGCGCTGCAGGCCTGGGGTGAGAAGCCGGCCCCTGTGCCTGCGGGCAACGGCCTCGCCGTTCTTCAGCTGTGGGGCTGGGAGCCGAGGGCCTGTCGGAGCCGGGAGGAAACAGCCTCTTCCCCGAGGAGGCCGCAGCGCGGAGGCAGGGCAGCGGAGGTGCCTGGAACATGTTCGGATCCGCCCTCTCGTCACCTCCTGGACCGCTCGACCCCGCAGACCTCGGCTTAGAGGGTCGTAAGCCCATGAATTGACGTGTTTTCTGGACAGACACCATTTGAAACAAGGAAATGAGTTGGCGATCAGATTGGCGCGGAGGGAGCCAGGCGTGGGGCGGCTCTCCAGGAGGGGTCGCTGACTGTCGCTCTGGCGTTCACCTCCATTGACACGGACGACTGCACGTTTTTCTTGGCATTCACATTTTAACCTCTTTCTGTTTGGGGTTCCCTCTTCTGTCTAAGGTTGTGGATGAAAAATGGGTCTCAGAGATTTCCTGAGCCCCCAAACTCACACTATGCCCGGAGTACACCGGGTTCCAGATGGCAGAAGAGCCCGGGTGGGGGGCTCTGCTGGCTGTCCCCATGTTGCCCTCCTCTCTGCGCTTTGCTGCTGAGTGGCTACAGGCCAAAGGGGTGGGCAGTTTTCCCAAAGACCGCACCAACGACAGGGGTCAGGATCAAACAGCTCCTGGGACTCGGGCCGCGGGCCCCAGCTTCCCTCTGCCTGGCATTCACATTGTGGGCCTGAGTATTGGGTCTCCTTGGGCGCAGGCCACCGAACTTAGCACAGGAGAAGGCGAGGACCTGCCACGAGGCCTGTGAGCAGCCAGCGTCCCCTCCCAGCTGTGCAGAAGTGCCCCCCATTGGGAGAGGTCCTGTGTTCTGAGCTCGGAGGTAAGGACCCCGCCCAGCTAGCCAATCTCCAGGGAGCTAGAGCCCAGCACGCCCTCTCTGTGTGCCCTGCTGCTCCTGTGGGCCCACGGGGATTTCTGGAACAGGATGAGTGACAGCAACGCTCCCCTTCTTGAAGCCAAGAGCACCTAGAATTCGTACTACTGGAACCCGCTGCCGGAGGGCGCAGTGAAGACTCCCCGGCAGACAGCAGGCTCCCTTTGGCCTGCAGGCATCTGCCTGGCTGCCTACCAGGAGGGAGAGGCCGCGTGGCACCCCCTGGAGGAGAAGCAGCAGCCTGTTCTCAGGCCCTGCTGGCTGCAGA